CTAGAAAGATACGAAAGTCTGGTCTACCACACATCGCTAAAACAGGGGATATACAATGAATGATTCAATAATAGCAAAAAAACTCATCGTCGGAAAACATGACGTCTAATTCATAATCTGCAACCTGTTCCGCTCGATTCTTCTGGTGAGACAGGGTTAAATGTAGTCGACATCGTCATCAAGTAGCTAACATTGGAGCAACCCTCATAAATGTGCTTTAGCTGCTCGATAAGCAGAGAATCCAAACAGCCGCCGGGAACGCAACTACAGGACTGAATGATGCAAAACATCGCAAGACCTAACGAACGCATGACAAACTCCTTGACATGGCGAGTGTATGTCACCATTAAATAGACAAACCATCAAACCCTATATTTCACAGGCTGGTCCATAGGAAATGATGTGTTACCTCTGATCCTGCTTCAGATTATTTGTGAAGTCGTAAGCTTTGACCGCTTCGATTATTACTTACGTTCTGCTCAGATTAATGAGTCAAAACATGCCGTGAATACTATATACATAATGCTTGTCTTATACATCATGCAACGATCGCTAAACTATAAAACAAAACTTGACAATGGTCTAACAAACCTATTGTGATGGTTTTATGAAAAGTCTATATGTTTGTTTAAACTTTATTATATTAGGTAATTGACATTCACGCAATTTTAACGCATCTATGCCAAACAGCAAAATGTTCTGATAATGTTGTTAAAGGAGTAAGCTTGCAACTTCGACATACCGTTTCTGCAATGGAGCTGTCAGCGGCAGACAACCAGGGTCGAAAATTCGCGAGCGCCTGTTCGAATCTAGTTCTTATTTTTGTAACAAGCTCCTAAATCATAAATTTAGCTACACTTTCGATGTAGAAAAAGCGAACCTCAGAGGGCTGCGCATCTTCGGCTGCGTGAAGCTCCCACAGAAGATTTTGATAGCAACAACGAATCGAAATAGAGACAGCCTAAAAAGATATTTCTGCACTTGAAGCGACAAAAAATTGAACGCTTACATCTGGATGTGGAGCCCTGCTTGCGCCTTCAGCACTACTGACAAACGGCAGTAAGCAGTCCAACAAGTTGTACTTTGACAAATCGCAACATCTAAATATCGGTCGAAAGATACAATGACGAGTATTAAATACACAATAACTGCCGACGATTAATTACAGGTACAAAGCTTCGATTTTCTTCAGACTAGTGATAATGGCTGCCAGATCATCCTCGTCGAAATCTTCTAACTCGTCGGTAAACCGCAAAACGTTTTGCCGAAATTTCACGACTACCGTGTCGATCATTTTCGAACGTTCAGTCACACAGCGTCCTTGGATCGATCGTGACTCAGCGCACAGATATTCGTACACCTTGCTACAAGTGACCAACAGTTCTTTATCGGTGTGCTTATCGAAAATGTCGTCGATACACTTCAGAAGAGAATCAAGATGCTAAACACTTTTTTTACACATCGCAAGGGAAACAACATTGCACATCTGCGGCGGATACCTTATCGAAACGGATTGCCGAATATACCTCTAAGTCGAAGTACAACGCTATCTGGAGCAAATTCAAGATTGCCACTGGTGATGCAATATACTAAATATTTAACAAAACTTTAACATGCTACATGCTGGTTGTCATATAGCTAAATATAGCAAAACTATACCAAAGTATAATTTATCCAAAACGCAACTTAAGCCCAAAACCGAATATTATGTAAATATCGTACATGTGTTGGTTTTGTAGCACGCGTTAACTCAGATTTTATTTTGTCGTGTTTTAAACCTCTGGGCACATATGGCATGTGATGCTGCCTCCGTTGAAATCTTGGTCCGCAGCGCACATTACGCAATGTTCTACTCGGCACATAATGCCATATTCATTTTAACGCAAGTTTGCTTCGATATTATGTCATGCTACGAAGGCAAAACTTGCAAGTAACTCCGCATGACGGTTTTGACAGATCCCAGTGAAGACTGCTTATGCAAAATTCGAGTGAAAACTCTTCAAGAGCGGCTTACCCGGGTTTGCAGTCAAATCTGTAGTTTTAGACGGGTTAGTCTGCCGTCTTGAGGTCAGAAGCGAATTTCCCGGTAGACACGAGAGGTTCAACTGACTGTTAGCATTAAAAAGTCTGTATTCAAGAAATGGCTTGGAAGAAAACAGCCTTCGACTTGCACGCAGTAGGAAAAAGTACGCAAGGCGGAAGTGAATGCAGTAGGAAAATCGAAAGCTGATTATTGGGAAAATAATAGTTCGCTGAGGTGCTGGAGTCAGATTTCAAGGTATTCTGGCAGACCACTCGCTGCCTCTGGGACGGAAAGAAGGGCAGTGTGCGAATTCTGAAGGGCAATCGAAAAAGTTGGAGATTCCCTCTGACTTTGCTGCCTCTGTAACCCGAAAGGATAAGGGGCCATTGAAAATGACTGCCTGGCTGACGCTGAAAATTTAACTGCACCAACTTTATTGCCGCTTTTTCTGCGAAACTATAGCAAAATAAACAAAACTTTTAAGAGCGGCTAACATATTCATGGTCTGACAAAACAGTTCAATTTGATAAAAGATAGTCTTAAATCACAATTGTCTTATTGACGACAGTAATGATGATATGATTAATTCTCTTGAACGTGCAATACACATACACTTCATTTTATGTTAAAAAATGGCACGTATCAATGCGTCGATCTACGAAATAAAATTTTCATTAAATATACATTAATTACTTAGATTCATGCGTAAGCTGGAAAATCATTAAAGGAGAGATCGACTTTAGAGACATCGCTCATGATGAAGCCACTTATTTGGATGGAAAATGCCTTGATACTTTGGAGGTGTGATCGGGTGATGGCTTCTTTAAATGGCTGGCTGGTTGAAATGATAGCGGAGACTAGAGCAGTACCACTGAAACAGCGAGGTACATATTCAGTCGATCAATGTAAAAGATGGCAACTTTCCAAGCGCTAAAACTTTAATTTTTCATTTTCTCGGGAAGAATATCGACAAATCCCATGAACGATAGCGAAGTAAAAAAAACTAAAAACGGACCTTTTTTCATTATGTGATACAAAACGTGATTATGAACTGGTCTTGCCAAAAGTAAGATAAATAACGGTGAATAAAAATAACTATTACCATTCGTTTAAGCATATTATTCTCTTTAGGGAACAAAGACGGTCATTAAATTATGTAATAATTTGTCAATAATTTTATAGTGACAGCAGAATTTGGCATAGATGCATTCACCGTATTCTAATGGTTAAAATAATGTAGTACTCCTTTGTAATGAAGTCCCAGGAACCGACAGCACATAAACGCCGTAGCAACAATGTCAAAAATTTACCATCAGACGTTGGGCATGATCAATAATGATGCAACTAAACATCCGGCGATATTATTTAAAAATCTATGACCAGCGGAAATCCGGGATGAAAAAAAATAAATCGACTTACCTTCTGCAACAGCAAAGGCAGTACAACGATAAAATGCTCGGTAAGACGAGATTTGTCTTCGTTTATTTGGCGCTGCTCTTTATGCGTTAAAGTCTAAAAGACTGTGTTAACAGTTCTACGTTTCAGGAGGACACTAGCCGCAAAGAATCTTTATACGACTAAGGACGTAAAGAACAACGCAATGTAAATTTCTTTAGCTCCATATCTCATAGATGCCAAGATGTCTTTATAAGCAAGCATGAATTCTTTACCGACTAATAATTCATTTTACAGAAAAAAACCAGTTCATTTACAGCTTTGTGTCATAGAAATCAACGCGGATTACGAACATGATTGGATTTAGGATCATGATTCTTACATGCATCAGTTTGCTGTGCAACGTTGGTTCCGTCATGAACACAAGATGCATTCCAAATTTTTGGGTGATCTTTTCAGTCCTTCACCTGCGTGGGCAACATCACCATGAAAAGTTGCTAATGATCACTAAGCATAATTGAATACCGGTGTTATTCAGCATGGAAACAGCGCTACGCAGGGGTTGATACATGCAAAAACCACGAAGCTTAAGTGCAACTAACGAAGCCGAATTGAAACTCAACGTGAGAGTGCGCTCTTTAAGTCACAGAAAAGCCACTAACATTACAAAATAGAAAAAGAACACCTGAACAAAGAACACAGCGATAGGCGTCAGAATGGACAAGCAGAAAGGTCAGGAACGAGAACAAATGAAAAATCCGCAGGCTGTGAAGAAAAAACAGAACAAGTTCTCGACTGCCACTGAACATACAGTTAAAGAAAAACAGCATAATATGGGACCAAGTGGTCGGTAGACATCGTCAAAAGAATTTCTCAAGCAGGAAGATAAAAAAGCTGTTCAATCTAAACATGTATAAACCGAGACGTAAGACGTATGTTTGGCAATATGTTATCACTGGAACGAAACAATGAAACCGTATCCACTGTCAACATTAAAAGATCTGCAGTGCAGCTGCAACTAGAATGTACTTTTAATACTGTAGCACTGTTCTGCTTTTGGACGTCGCTTTTTGAAGATGAGTCGAGTATCATCAGAAAGACTGAAGAAAGTATACGCATAAACTTGTGCAGTGAAATCAAATAAAGGATTTTTGCAATTAGCGCAACATATAGAACCTTTGAAAAAAAGAAACTTCTTATAACAAAGAATTACTAGCATGTCCTTAAAAATTAGTACCAAACTGCAGACAGTATTGCATGCACAGGAGAAGCAGGGGATATAGAATGAGAGGACAAAGACCCACATGCAAAAGCCGGAGAACAAGGAAGTCGCCAAGATTTAGCAGTACGCTTAAGCGAACTATGTGGCAACGATACAAGAGTTTTTCAACAGAGCTAAGCTTCAATGTGAAAAGAGCACTGAATGCATGCATCATGTTAAACAGTAAAGAAACACAATTTGCTCTTCAGTATGCACCAGTATAGCACAGAATAAATTGGCTGAACAGGTGCATCAGCGAGGTACTGACCATCCAATCCAGAGACAATTTCAACAGAGGCAAACGATTGGAATTCTATGCAGATTGGATTAGATAGACTTCGTCACATCGATAATCGACAAACTACTTCAGCCGTAGCGCAAACCTGAAGCTCGTATCACAACTCCAAACGCTCCTTCCCTGCGGATGACTGTATCAAAAACAACCGTGCCATACAGAAGAGTCAGTGAGACATAGTAAAACGTCTGCAGTAATTTTAAGTAGTCTAAACTAAGCGGGTTTCGTGGTATTTTTCTGCATAAAATTCTTCGTGTAAATAAATAAATCATAAATAAATAAATCACAAAATCACGTTCTTCTAATTCTACCTTTTTTCAGCCCTGTTGTTAGCTGAAACAATCTGAGAACTTACATATTTTTAGAATCTTAATGCCTCAGATGTGAGGAAAATGCAAAACTATAAAGTCAGAGCTACAATCATCTGCAAGGAGCCAAATTTGCTATTAGTCATCGCACACCTAATCCAATTTTCAACAAGGGGTAGTGAAATTATTCCATTCATGCAAAAAAAACCAACATAAAATTCTGAACGTCAAGTAAGTAGTGCAATGTTGATATCGTCGTATGTTTCACTTACTCTTCTGCTTGGGGTTCTACCAACGGGACAATCGCCTGTGGCTGCCTGTTTTACGCTGCAAACCATTACTTCGATTAGTTTCGCTTCCTGGGCTTCAGATAAAGCTAAATCAAACAACGACGAATTATAAATCTGAGCCGACACGGCAACAGTAATCAGTTACATCCGTTTGCGTCACACTTGTCGTTTAACAGCAAGTTGGTCATTGCCTGCCACTCTTTAAGCAGGTTAGTAGAGTCGAAGAGAGCGTCAACCAGGTAAGCAGCGTTTTCGCTCAGCTGAAAAAAACGTATGATATGAGCTCGCTCAAATGACGGTCCAATGAACGGCTGCAAGCATTTCTTACCTCGTTATCCATTGCAAAGTGCACGAGGCCATTAAGCAGACTTGCCAATGCCAGTTCGGTTTCCATGTCCCGTTGGTCGAGGTCCAGCAGACTTGTATAATCAAGCGAAAATGAGTACGCGACCAAAAATTCTCCGGCAGCGGTTGCCAGACCACGGTGCATAGCAAAAACGCAATTAAATAAACTTCGAGCATTTGCTTCCGTTAGTAAACGAGGAAAATGTCTGAAAGATATAGTTCGCACTTATAATAGAAACTTGCTAAGTAAATTATTACCGAAAAATTAGTATCGCTAGTTTGATGGCAAGAACACCGACCTCTACATCCACATCATTCGCCATT